CCCCCCCCCCCCCCTCCTCCCGCCCTCGTGCGGGGGACTGCGAGGCCGCGCTCTTACGCGGCTGTCGTTGCGGCGTGCAGGCGGCGACGAAGCGGACGTGCGAGGGTGGTGGGGCTGCTGCGGGGACGAAGGTGCGTGCTTGCTCTGCGGCACACCGCTCGAGAGACGCTCCCCCTTGCGCGCGAGAGACGCGCGAGAGAGTTGCGCGCGCGCAGAGAGTGCGCGGCCCGCGGCGCACCGCCCGTCTTCGCCTAGCCGCTCCTAGACACGCCCGTCCTAGGCTCTGCATGCCCACGCCGAGACTCGAGCGCGCCCAAGGCTTAGCCCCTCCTCCCAGACGACCGCGTGAACCCCCCGCCCCTCGTGGCGTCTCCCTTCTCTGTGGAAGGCAGCCCTCGGCCACTCTGCCCAGACCTTCAGGATGGTTATGTGGTGTCGCATGTACAGGAGACCTGATGTCGCGTGAGGACCGCGCCGCGGAGACACTTGGTCACCTCTTTGGCGGCGGCGAGGCGCACGGGCGGTTAACAGGCGGCGCGGGCGCGGCGCATACGGTCCAGCGGTTGTTGTATTTCTTTATCAGTTGCTTCAGGAGAGGGTGAGTTCCCCCGGGGCTTCGAAGAGGAAGACAAGAAGCCGTAATTTACGGCGTAATTAATTCGCGGATTAGCTAAAACGCGAAAAACACGTGAACATAAAAACTTTTAAACAAAAAAACGACGCTTTCGACACTGAGCATCTGAATGTGAAGTGTGTAAAAAACGTCTCTGAATGAAGTGTGGCGGCGGGTGTGTGTGGCGCCCCCGCGCGCCACGCGCGCGCGGACGGCGCCGGGGCGCGCGCGGGGGCGGGGCGCGGCCCTTTCGGCCCGTCTGCGCGACGACTGCGCCCTGCGCCGCGGAGCGCGCGCCTCGGCGCGGCCTCTAGCCCCTCGAGCACGGGCGCGCAGGGACACACACTTTCACTTTGTTTTGATAGGGATCAATGGAATTGATATACGTCTACGACTCCGCCCACTCCAGCTCGGCCGCCGCGCCGGCCGCTCTCGCCAGCGCGTCCGCGTCGCGCAGCCCCATCGTCGCGCACCGCGCGAGCACCCCATTCGCGTGCGCGAGCCCCACGACGGAGACGACGCGCACCGGCCCCTCACCCGCCGGCTCGCCTCCCTCCGAGAGCTCCTCCCGGCCGGGCAGGTCCAGCCGCGCGAAGTCGAGGTCCGCCTCGCTCCCCTCCGCCACTCGCCCGGCGAGGTAGCCTCCCGCCGCGGGCGCGAGCGACCCCGCGTCCACCACCAGCGGCTCCTCGCCGCGGATCCAAACCTCAACCCGCCGGTCCCCGCTCACCGGACGCCTCCCCGCCACGGCACGCACCACCCGCGCCCTCCGCGCTACCGGCAGCAGGAGCACGTCCGCCACGCGCTCGCCTCCGCCCTCCGCCTCCGCCTCCGCCTCCGCCTCCGCCACCCGGCCGGCGTCGGCCGGGCCGGCGGGCGTGTGGACGCGGTTGAGGGCGAAGACGCAGCCGAAGCTCACGTTGATCAGCCTGGGGGGCGCGGGGAGGCGGCCGGGGCAGGCTTGCAGGGCGGTGCAGAGGGCGGTGCAGAGGGCTGGGCCAGATGCGCGTGCGCGAACTGCGTGCGTGCGTGTGGGTGTTGTGAGGAGAGAGAGGGGAGGGGCGCGCCTCGAAGGGTCGTCGGACGCCGCGTTGGGGGCGGGCGTCTCGGCCGGCGCATTCGCAGCGGCGAGCGCGTCGAGGAGAGCGAGCCAGCGCGGCTCAAAGAGGGAGAGGCGCCTGCGAGCAGGTGGGGAGCAGGTGGGGGCTTGCGAGATGCGAGAGGCCGCGGGGGGGGGCGCAGAGCGGCACGGGTGCGGAGGGCGAGGGAGGCGCCTCTCCTCGCCGAGCCGGAGGGGCCTGAGGGAGGGTCAGGGTCAGGGTCAGGGTCAGGGCTCGGGTCAGGTCGCGGCGGTGGGCGGGTCTCGGAACGAGGAGTTGGGGCAGATGGAGTTTGGGCAGACTGCCGATAGAGGCGAGAGGAAGGGCTCTCCGTCGCTGCCGCATCTCGGCCGCATCTCCGCTGCCTCTCGCCTCTTGAGCGTGAAGAATGGGATCGTGCCGCGCGGGTGCGGAGGCGCGCGGGCGAGGGCGGCGGGGTCCGTCGCAAAGGTGTACGAGCGGCGCAGCAGCCTCCCGCTCCGCAGCCCGCGCGCGAGCTCGAGGCCACGGAGGGTGGAGGCTGAGAGAGCCTCATCACGCCGCAGGAGCAGCACGTCCCACACCCGCGCCTGCTCACAGCGAGACGGGCTGACGAGGCGCTGCTCGCGCCTCGGGCAGAGGCGCCTCCGGCACCCGCGCCGCAAGCGCGAGCGCGGCGGCGTCGGCGAGCGCCTCCGCCGCGGTGGCGAGGGCGGCGAGCCAATCGGCGTCTGCGCCCACGCTCGCGGAGGCGGCCACCGGCATGGTGAAGGCGGCGACGGCGCCGAGCAGCACCGTCCACCACGCGCCCGCGAGCAGCGGCAGCAGCTTCGCCGGGTCGTCTCGCAGGCTCCCGACCACCGAGGCGGGCTGCAGCAGCCGGAGCGTGCGCTCGGGGCGGGAGCCGCGGAGGGCGAGGGAGAGGGCGCGGCGGACTCGGCCGGTGTCGGCGAGCGGGCCGGCCGCGCGCAGCGCCGCGGCGGTGTCGCGCGCCTTGACGTCGCCCAGCACCATCGGCACGCCAATGTCTCTCGCGGCCTTGGCGGCCGCGGCGAAGTCGGCGCCGTAGCGCCGCTCGGCGGTGCCAGGCGTGGACAGGAGGAGCCGCTCGAGGCGCTCCGGGTCGAGCTCGAGCACGACGACGTCGGGCCTCGCCGCGGTGATGACGGCCTCGACCTCGGCGGCGGATTGGCAAGGCGTGTGCGCCGTGCCGACCACGAGGAGCTCGCTGCTCGGCGTCGCGGCGAGGCCGACGCAGGGTAGGTTCGTGCTGGAGAGAGGCGTGCGAGGCGCGAGGGTGCCTGCGGCGTAGAGCAAGGCGTGCATCGCACTTTCAGCACCAACGCAAAGAAATCGCGCGGCCCAGCGCGTTCTCTCGGGACGCGCACGAGGGGGCATAATCACGGACGCGAGGTGGTTGAGGGGTTGAAGGGGTCTGTCAACCACTTGGTTGAGGGTTGTGAGTCCTCTGTCAAGAGAAAGTAGGGAAAGGCCAGGAACGGCTTGCTTGGCTTCGCTACTGACTGGTCACCAAGACGCGGTATGGGGGTGGACGACAGAAGAGGACGACTCCACCCCCATACAGAAGAGGACGACACACGCGCGAGCGACACACACAGACACACAAACTCACAAGACACTCAGCCAGCTTGGGCTGCCGCCACACATCCCGAGTGGAGCGTACCGCTACTCAGGGCCACGCCCCCCCCCCCCCCCTGTCGCCCCCGCCAGAGTCAGCACCCACGGTGCCAAGGGCACAAACAACAGCAGAAACAACACAAACAGGCGACAGGGGACGCCACGTGTGAGGCTAGAGCAGACTGCTCCACCCTAGGCTCCGCCTCTAGCAACGTCTCGCCGGCCGCAAGGCACGGGCGAGATCACGTGCGCGTGTGTGTGGGTTCGTGAGTGTGAGGTGTCTTTGGACGCTCTTCTCACAGGCCAGCAACCAGTTGCTAGCCTTACACTCGCATTTCATGATTGACGACAGTGAATATGATGAATCTATAGCACCAGACCTGGCTGTGGCTGGTGCGCGAGCAGAGAAGAGAGAGCGATGTGAGTTAGGAAATAGGACATGCAAATGGCAATATTGTATATATGTATGTGTGTTCTTTGTTTCTGTGCCAAGTGCATGTGCATGTATGTGTGTTCTTTCTGGGTTCTGAATGCGTTTTGTTGTTTGATTGATCTTTCTGTGTCAACCCAAATTTGGGTTGACAGTTGAGGAAATCGGCCTCAAACCACCGCTCTGACACAAAGTGGTAGACTTGTTTGGTATAGCTAAAAAGCTCTCTCTCCGCTCTGAGCGACGGCGCGAGGAAACAGACCGCAAACGGAAAAATCTTTTGTACGGTCCCGTGTCCAAAAGAAAGAAAGAAAGGCAAGAACCCAAGGGAGGGATGGGAGGATGGTACGCCGCCAACACACAGGGATTTAAGGAGAGGAGTGTGGTGCTAGCCGTGCGCCTAGTGTCGTGCGAGCCGAGGGCGAGTGGTAAAATTCTTTTGAACGGCATACTCGGGGGGGAGGGTGGTGGGCGGCGACCGCCGCATACCGTCCTATGGCGGCGAGTTTCGCTACGCCAGGGAGGACAAAGGACGTCGCGACGTGCAGGCTGCTGCTGTTCGAGTCGTTCGGTGGGTTCGGGAAGGGGGTCGGCGAGATCCTCTGGAAGGCGGCGAACGTGCTGCAGAACAAACTGACACGGGCCCAGTACCTCGATGCGGTGACTTGGACCACCAAGAACTGGCCAGCTAGGGCTGCAGAAGCAGCGTATCTCAGTCTCGTTCTTCACACGGCCATCGCAGAGCAGATTGTGAATGAGCTTGCCTGTGGCGGGGGCGGGCGGGTGCACGGAGCTAAGTGCCTCGCCGCCCTCGCAGGAGTCGCTCTTAGGCGGCTCCCGTGGTGCGTGGTGTATACCTGCGTTAGTGCCAGTGCGCGCCAGTCCCGTGCGCGTGCCCAGTTGTCGTGCGAGGGAGTTTCGTTGTAAAATTCTTTTGGCGTTGCTTTTGTTTAAAATTTGACCGCGCAAGACAAAGGGTGGCTAAGGGCTCTGCCCGCAAGGCGCCCGCGTCGCTGACGCGATACCATTGACTAATCCCGGAAAGCGGAATCACACCCACACACGACCAAATAGCGAAAATCCGAATACCGTGCAAAAACCACGCAAATTGAGCAGAAGAACGTCGTAACAAGTTTGGCAAACGCTAAACATGGGCGATCCAGCGCTTCCTTGTCGATTGGACGGACGAAATGATCGCGGAAAAGCGGGACCGCCATCGCGACATCGGGGGTTCACCATATGCCGAGCCTGCTCGGCCTGCCATGCGCGCGCGCCTCGCCCGAGCGCAGCCACCTGCGGACCTGGCCAGCCTGTTCCTGGCTCGTGCCCAGCCTCTCCTTCCGCTGCCGCCGGCCTCGCAGTCCCGCCTGCCATCACGCTGCAGAGCCTGCGTAGACGCCACAGACGCCAATTCTGCAGCCCACAGCCCTGGCAACTGAGGGCGAGGGCCAGCAGTATACGACGACGACGACATCTGACAACCCCTCGCTGGCCAGCGCCATCAGCCCCTCAAGGCCCGGCCCAACCACCCTTCGGGCCTCGCCTCTAGTGCCTCCAAATCAAGCCGTCGCACCTCTCTTCTTCAGCGAATGCAGCGGCAGCACCACGTCAGAGGCCGGGCCGACTGGCGGACCTGCATGCCCAGCCATGCCCCCCACTCCCCACCCGCTTGGATCGATCAGCTGACAGCTCCACCAGCTCCCACCACCGCGTGTCGTGTCATGAAGCAGATAGCGATAGACAAAGCGAAAGCATGAACCATCGAAAGGTCTGATCTGCAAAAAGAGCTCCCGCCGGGCTGGCGGCTGCGCGCGCCCGCGCCCCGCCCCTTTTGCGCAGCAACCCTTAAATTTCATGGCCCTCAAAAATCGGGTCGGAGCCTACGGCGCAGAGGGGCCCCCGGAGGGATGCTCAACCGCGCTTGGAGCACTTGGAGTGCAGACACATTAACCGCACATCCAGGGCCAGGGAGCTAAGAAGCGCACCCAGCGGGCCGGATGATTGGCATCGGGTTGCGGGCAAGAGAGCCCTAGCCCCGGAGTGCGCGTTCGCAGGGAAAGGGCCGTAAAGTAAACACGGGTCTCCGAGGGTTAGTCCGCGCTCCAGGTTTCCCCTAGCAGCGGAGCGCCCCCTCTACTCGGAGCTAATAAACACCAGACACGCACACGACGTACATCCTCACTCGACGTCACCCCTCGGGGCTTCTCCGTTCGGCCTCCCCCCCTCGGTCCGGAGGAGCCCTCCTATCCTCTCGGTCCTCCCTCCACTCGCTTTCCGCTGGTTGGGCAACGGATGCGGGGCCCGGCTCCCCCTCCTAGCCTTTTTCGGCCGCGGCCCCGCCGCCGTCTCGCCCGCTCTGCCTGCTCCTGTTGACTCCGCCTCCGGCGATCCCGTGCCCGACTCCTCGGGCGAGGGCGGCGGCATTGGTTGGATCGCCACGCCGCCCCTCCCCGGGAGGTGGGGCCAGCTCTCTTCGGTCGAGGAATCGCGCCCGCCCCCGCGGTCTCTCTATCGTCCTCGGCTCGTCCGTGCGTCCCGACTCCACTCGCAGAGGCCGCGTCAGCTCATCTCTCGCCTCCTCCGACAACTGACCACTCGCAAAAAAAGCTTTGGGACGGCGAACTTGGACAAGGAGCGACCAGCGAAGGAGGCCAGCGCAGGCCATGGACTCGTCCCCGGACTCCACGCCGACCACGGCGTCGGCCATGGAGTCGGCCTCGCTCTCCAGCGGCAAGGAGCCGGCCGCGCGCGGCCGGCACTTCTTTCTGGCCACCGGCGACCCGTCCGACGGCCTTTACTCGGCGGTTTGGATCCTCGTCACGATCGCGTTCTGCGGGCTGTCCGCGGGCTTGGGCGGCGCTACCAACGGGTGGGAGCTGGGTCTGTACGCGCCGCTGTTCTCGCATGCCGTCCAGTGGCTTGTCTGCACTCTGCACGCGTTTCCGTACCAGACCGAGGTGATGGAGTGACTAGGTGATGGAGCCGTAACCATCATGGAGTGACACGTACGACTCGACACGTAGGTGTACTACGACTTGACGGGCTCCATCACGTATGCGCTCCTCGCCGTGGGCACCCTCAGCATCACGGCTGGGCGCACGCGGAGCGTGCACGCGAGGCAGCTGGTCGCGACGGCCTTTGTGCTCGTCTGGTGCACCAGGCTCGGCTCCTTCCTCTTCCAGCGAATCCGCCGCGACAGCAAAGATGGCCGCTTCGACTCGCTCAAGCCGTACTTCGTCGCCTTCTTCGGGACGTGGAACATCCAGGGTGCGTGGTGCTTCCTGACCGGGCTCGCCGTGTGGGCGGCCAACGCCCGCGACCCGGCGGAGCAGCCTGCGTTTGGCTGGCTCGACGGCGTCGGCGTCTGCGTCTGGTGCGTCGGCTTCGGGATCGAGGTGGTCGCCGACCGCCAAAAGGCGGCGTGGCGCGCGCTGCCGTCGTCCAAGGGGCGGTACATCGACGTCGGCCTGTGGCGCTACTCGCGCCACCCAAACTACTTTGGGGAGTGGCTGCTCTGGACGGGGCAGTTTGTGCTGTGTGCGAGCGCATTCGGCAGCGGCGACGCGACGGGCGCGTTCGTCGGCGCGGGCTTCCTGAGCGCCGCTTCGCCCGTCTTCGTCTACCTGCTGCTCAACTACGTCTCGGGCGTCCCGCTGCTCGAGAAGCGGAGCGACGAGCGGTGGGGCGGCGAGCAGGTGTACCTCGCGTACAAGCGGGAGACGTATGTCTTCTTCCTGCTGCCCACGCGGCGGACCGAGGCGAGCCGCCCGCTCCTCTGAGGGGGGTTGGCGTAGGTGGGTGACGCGGCTGGCGTGCAGGTGTATGGCGGCGTACAGGTGAGGCAGCGGCGGAGGTGTAGTCTGCACAGCGCACGGTGGTGGTCGTGAGGAGGAGTGCCTGAGCTGGTGGACCGTGTACGTGTACGATGTGCGGCCTTCGTTGTTTTTTCTTCAGCGTTTCGCCCGTTGGGCCCAAACCTGCATACCTGGCGAGTCCGACTTGGAGCACTTGAGTCTTGTAGACAGACCACGCCTCACTTTTTAGCTTTATTTCACATCGCGCACTGCACTGCTGAAGCCGCCACAGGCAAGCTTGTGCTGTGAATCCCGCGGAAAAGAATTTGCCTGCCATGAAGCACTCGACGAGCCTGTCAAGCCTTCCTCCGGACCTCCTCTCCTGCATCCTCGGCAACCTCGGACTCTGTGACCTGTACGCGTGCGCCAAACTCTCACGCGCTCTGCGGCATTCGGCCAACGTCCGGCGAGACGCGTTGAGGCTGCTTGAGCCGTTTTCGTCCTTCGGCACACGCGGCAGTGGTCGGAGTCACCTGCACCACGCGAGCGCCCTGGCGCTTGCCGACGGCGATGGCTCCCTCCTCATCGGCGAGAAGGACCGCTTGCGGGTCGTCTGCCCCGACGGCGCGACCTTGGGCCTTTGGCAGGCGAGGAACGAGGGCGTGGAGTGGCTCTTTGCCACTCCGGAACGGCCCGTGTTGATGGCTCCCGGCGTGCTGATGCCAAACCCACGCGGCTCCACCGGCCCGTGCGGACTGGCCCTCCTGGCTTCCGGCGGCTCAGGCGGAGGCATGCCCTCGCGCTGGCCCGCCGGGCCGGAGCAGCACCTGTTTGTGAGCGACGCGGGCGCGGATCGAGTCTATAAGCTCCGACGCTGCGTGAGTGCTGCCGACGCCACCGTCGCTTGGGCGCTCGTGGGCAGTGTCGGCAGCTTTGGGGACCGACGGGACGCCTCTCGGGGCCTTCCCTGAAGCTTCGCAGAACCTTGCCTCTAGGCGGCTTCGGCACCGGCGAGGGGCGCCTCATGAGCCCGGGTGCGCTGGCGCTCGGCGAGGGTGACTCCACACTGCTCTACGTCGCAGAGGGCCACGCGGTGTCCGCCTTCGACGCCGGCACGCTCGCCTTCCGGTTCCGCTTCGGCCGCGACGCGGGCACCACGCCGCGCGGCGGCGCCGCTGCCGGCCATCTCAAGTCGCCCGACGGGCTGGTCGAGCACGGCGGAGAGGTGTATGTCGCGGACATGCTCAACCACCGCGTCCAGGTCTTCTCCGCCTCGGACGGACTCTTCCGCCGCTCCTTCGGGCGGCGGGGCAGCCGGCCGGGAGAGTACCGCCGGCCTTCCGCCGTCGCCGTCTGCAGGGGCCGCCTCCTCGTCGCCGAGTTCACGGGCAAGCGGGTGCAGGCCGTCTCGCCCGCCGACGGCACCCCGCTGCAGCTCCTCTGCCTGCATGCAGGGCCCGCGAGCGCGGCGATCCGGCTCGGCCCCTTCCTCGTCGACGAAAAGCGAGGGCGAGTCGTGGCGCCCGCGGCGGCGCCCGCCGCGCCGCTGCAGGTGTTCCACTTCGTGCCCCCCGTCGTGCGTGGTCCTCGGTGATGATGATGTGATCTTCGAAAAGAAGCACAAAATTGGGAGACGGACAGCGTCCCACGCATGTTTCCTTTTATCGCGATGGAGCTTCGGTCAGGGGACCACCGACCACCTCTCGAGGGGACCACACAGCAGGGCGGGGGACACATGTCCCTAAAAATCCCATCTCGTCTCAGAGTTTGTGACCGTTTTTATTTATTTATCTGAGCCCTGGCTGTCAGGCTGTCAGAGGTGCTGTCAGGTGATCTGTCGGGCTGTCGGGCAGCTGTCAGGCACTGTCAGGTGCCTCTGTCAGACCAGCTGTCGGGTGCTGTCAGTGCTGTCGGGTGCTGTCGGGTGCGTGTCTGACAGTCGAGGGGCTCTGTAGCTGTCGGGTGCTGTCAGGGCTGTCGGGTGTTGCTGTCAGACGCTGTCGGAGCTGTCAGAGCTGTCAGGCTGCTGCTGCTGTCAGACGTTGGGCTGTTGCTGTCAGGTGCTGTCAGGTGGTGCTGTCGGGGTGCTGTCAGGCTCTGACACACACCAGCCACACTTATGACACTATCAAGAGGAGACCAGCAGGACTCTGCTGCACATACTCTAGTCTCTACTCTGCCTCCGGTCCCACCATCTTCTTCATGGTGGACGTCACCATCTTCTTGTCTGTCGCACTGAGAGAATAGCAGAGAGGCAGACTGGAGTGCTTCTTCAGGTACACCTTGCTGATGATCTGGTAGTTGCTGGTCCAGCGGAAGGCCTCCCCATCGTTGTCGCTCGTCAGCTTGTAGTACTTGCACGCTCTGTTCTGGTTAGAGCAGGCGTTCGCGTGGTGCTTCGCATGCACGACCGCCGACGCGAAACGCCAAACCCGGCGGGAAAAAACTCGCTGCGGAGCTCGAGCGATCTGCGGCGCGAGCGAGCAGGGCACCGCCTCACTGGCTGCCACCGAACGGTCTGGGGGCGGCTGCCGCCCAGCAGGCCTCTTAGGCATCCGCGCGGGGCGGTGGGGCCGGCGCTGCTTGCGGCGGGAGACTACCCCCTCTGCAAGTGCTCCAAGTGCCCTGCACTCTAGCCTTCGCTTCGATCGGCACATCTCTCTCTCTCTCCCCCCCCCCCCCCCCATCTGTCTGACCGAGTTACAGCATAGCAAGGCGCGAGACAAACATATAGCCGAGATACAGGCTTTTTCCGGGAGGGTTCTGCGCCTTGCGGCTTTTTCAGTGTACGTACTAGTAGCTTTTATAACTTCCGAATCTACCACTGGATTTTTATTCGTCCGGGGCGGGAACAACGAGTTGAGCCGAGCCGGGGGCGAGTTTGCCAGTTGTCTGTCTCCATGCCTACCGTCGAGCTGCGTCTGCCTAAGGGCGTCTCGCACGTATTCGACATCGACGGCCACCGGCTTGTGCGCGATGTAGGCTCAGTGATTGCCGAGATGCTGCTGCCCAGCGGGATCGTTACCACGGAGGAGAACACGGCTTTCGTGTTTGGGGATTGCTCGATGCCGTAGGCCGAGTTCTTCAAGGGCCTGACCAACGATGAGGCGACTCTGGGAGAGCTCGGCGACTTTGCGATCCAGATTGACGACGTGCCGCCAGGCTCGGTCGAGGTCACCGTGGTGGAGCAGGGTGGAGGCACGCGCACCGTGACCGTGCCCACACCGGGCAAGGTTGGTGCGCTGCAGGCGGCGCTCGGGCAGGCGTACGACGGGGACATGTCGACCATGACCCTCATGATGGAGGGCAAGTTCAAGGTCGTGGTCAACGTTGTCATTTCCTCCTCTGTCGCGTCGTTCTCTTCTGCCTCGTCCTGTGACGCCGCCGCCTGCCGGTCCCTTGTTCTCGCGGCTTCTTTCGCCTTTCGGCGCAACTCCGTCCTCCTCGCGGCGTATCCTGGCCCCTCGAGTCTATCGAGCTCCCATCTGAGCACAGAAAGAAAGAAAGAAAACAGACAACCCAAGGGAGGGATGGGAGGACGGCACGCCGCCACCACACAGGGATTTTTTAAGGAGAGGAGTGTGATGCGCTAGCCGTCGCCCACCCTAGGGAGTCTGCCTCTTCCTATCTCTTTTCGCAGTCTCTCGCCGATTCTCGCTGCAACCTTCATGCCACCTCGCGGCCGTCCCACTCTCGTCGTTCTCTCCCTTGTCACTTCCTCCTCTGTCGCGTCATTCTCTTCTGCCTCGTCCTGCGCCGCCGCCGCCTGCCGTTCCCTTGTTCTCTCGGCTTCTTTCGCCTTTCGGCGCAGCTCCGCCCTCCTTGCTGCATATCCTGGCCCCTCGAGTCTATCGAGCTCCCCTCGCGCAAGGACCACATTTCTGACTCCCACTCCGATCATTTGCCTGCAGGTCATGTTGTTGCTCAGGTCCACTCTCTCTTCGAACACACCATGTTAAATTCTCTGGTAAAATTCTTTTTCTAGCGGCGCCCGCATGCTGAGTACAGCTCCAGGAAGCCTCGCCGGAATCCCGCTGCGAAGTGTGCTGCGCGGTGCGTGCTGCCGCCCGAGGTACTTGAACCGTCCGGCATGTCGTGGCGCGACGACGATCCGATCGGCTTCGCGTACATCCTCTGCCTTGGCGTCACCGTCGGCCTTCAGCTCGCATGCTTCGCCGTCGCGGCGGCGCTTCAGTTCGACAAGATCACGGATCTGGCGGGCAGCCTGAACTTTGTCGTGCTGGCCGTGCTGACGCTGCTCCTTGCGGAGGACATTGGCGCGCGCCAGATTGTTGTGAGCTGCCTCGTGGCCGTCTCGCGGACAGAGCTCGCCGCCTTCCTGCTCTACCGCGTGCTTCAGCGCGGCAAGGACGCCAGGTTCGACACCGTGAGGGAGCGGCCGCTCGTCTTCCTGATCTTCTGGGTCTGGCAAATGCTCTGGGTGTTCGTCGTTTCATCTTCGGTCATCTTCATCAATTCAGCGGGCCACCTCGCCTCGCCCACCCTTTCGGCGGCGGATTACGTCGGTTGGGCTCTCTTTGGCTTGGGCTTTGCGGTTCAGGTCGTCGCAGACGTGCAAAAGTATCTCTTCCGGGCAGACCAGGCCAATCGCCGTCGTGTGTGCGACCGCGGGCTGTGGCGCTTCTCCCGCCACCCCAACTTCTGCGGCGAGGTGCTGCTGTGGATAGGCGTCTACGTGGCAGGGGCGCCGGTCTTTCGTGCCGCTCCCGCCGGCTGGTGGACGGTCGCCTCTCCTCTCTTCACGCTCGCGGTGTTAACGCTCTTCACGGGAATCCCGCAAGCAGAGGGGCAGAACGCGGTGCGATGGTACGATGGCGGCGAGGCGCAGGCGCAGTACGAGGTCTACTTTGAGAGGACGCCACCACTGTGGCTGCTGCCGCCACAGCTGTACCGGCTGCTGCCGCGTCGCGCCAAGCTGCTGCTCTGCTGCGAGCTCCCTCTGTACGCGTACCGTCCCTCGAGCGAGCCGGTCGGAGGACGGTCGGCGAGCAGTGGTCTGGGGGAGCCGTTGTCCGCTCCCGACACGGAGGGCACGGACCACAGTTAAGAGCAGGTTCGTCGCACTCTCGTCTCTCTCCAGACTGTCTCTGTGCACACAACAAACAATCATATTTATTTGAACTCTTAACAATAACATGCGAATTGACGGTACACGTACAATAATGGACCTAGAAATCTTGAGAACTGGGGTTGCTCTCACAATGCCGATTGGGATTGCCGTGCACGCATCTCTCAAGCGTCAAGGCTCTACTGTGCCCCCAGACCTCACCATGAGGATGTCCGGCGGCTGCGAACGCATCACCCGTGCGCGGCGGACGAGGAGATACACGAGCAGGATGGTCAGCGGGACGGCCACCCCCAGCCCAACGCCGAGCGCAACAGCGAGGTCGGTGTCGTCATCGTCGAACAAGCCTAAGCGCGGAGGAGGACTTGGTTAGCCCGTTCTCGGCATTCCAAGGCTCGAAGTGGGTGGCCGGGCTGCGCGAACGAACCCCAGTCGTCGTCGTCCCCTCCCCCGCCTCCCCCACTGCTCTCGTCGTCGTCGACTCCTCCAGACGCGCCGCTGCTCCCGTCCACAAACTCTCTGTACTTTTCGCTCGGCAACGCGCCGCTTTGATGGGTCCCCTGCATTGCGTTCCCGATGGCACCCAGCCATGGGCCCCGTGTCGCAACAATAGCTTGCAGGACGGCGCCTGCGCCCTGCGACCAAACGTCCTGGCCGTAATGGGGGACACTCGGCTCCAGATTGTCCCCACACACAAAGTCCACTGCCACCCCTGCCTCCTGCAGCTCTCCGAACGCCCCGTTACCGAGCGCAATCACAAACGGGTGAGAAGCTGCCGCGGCCTCGCTGCGTATGTCATCGGCTGAAGTGTAGCGGGCGCTTTCAACACCCATTGCTGACGACCTGTGGGAGATGCCCTCGTACCGGCTAGCGATTCCTGAGTTCGATCTCTCTCCGGGGCTCTGGTAGACGAGCACACGCAGGACCGAGGCGAGATCCTCCGGCATTTCTCCGGGCGCAGCGCTACCGGACAGCTGGCTGATGCCGCTCCCCATGGGGGCCAGGCCACACTGGCGCCCCATGATGAAGTTGTGCGGTCCGACGTACGATAAAATGCGCGGGTTGTGGTAGCCATCGGTGTTCGCGGTCACGATTGGCACCGTCGGCCGCTGGTCGAGGCAGCTCTCGATGGCTGCGTGCACCTCCTCGTACCCCGCGTTGGATTGGTACGGGACCGTCACCACGATTGCATCGGACAACGCACAAGCCTCTTCTATGGCAGCGGCGTGAGCAGTCGGATCGTACCCCGTGGAGTTCCAGCGCACGGTAAATTCTTCGGCGGCGGACCGTGCCGCCTGCTCCCACTTAGCCCAAAACTCCGTTGTGCCCGGGTAGGCATGCGTGATCACGGATAGCGTGGGCGCACATGGCAGCGGCGCGTATGGCTGCACTCTGCTGTGGCTAGCGAAGAGCTCACCACTCTCAGTTGAGACGACACCGACCGCATCGACCGAGCCAAGCGATGCGTACAGCAGCCCGGTGGCTTGGAGGCCCTGCGCGTAGACAGTCTGCCCGTAGTAGGCAAGCTCCCCGCGGTCCTATTGTAGAGAAAGGTGTCAGCCTCGGTGTGTGGGTGCGCATCCCGCAAAGAGCGCGGCGGCAGCGTGCGTGCGTGCGTGCGCCTGATCGTCGCCACATTGAAGATCCACACCGACGCCAGCTTTTGTCAGGTTCGCCGCGGCGCCCACACCGAGGGCAATCACGTAGTTGCTCGAGGAGACGGTGCTGGGGTCGCTTGTCACAGAAACTACGCCGCGATCGCCGATGGCGTCCACAATGCCTTTCTTCCTCTGCTCGATTCCGTAGTTGGACAGCTCTTCCGGCTGCCAGTAAATCTCGACGGGCTTGGTGGGGGTGGCTCCGGCATCCACCCGGTCGCGGACCGCCGCGTCGAGGTCGTCGCTGAGGGCAATTCGACCGCACACCCCGCCCTGGTCATAGTTGGCTGAGCCAACGTATCCGTCCCACGATGGTTTGAGTCGTCCAGTAAGGAACTTCACCCCAAAGTTGAGAGCGGTGTCGGTGTTGGCGAGAAGGAACTTCAAGTCGGGCCTAGCGGCTGAGCAGCGGTTGATTGCATTGGCGATGGGCTGCCGTTCTTCGGTGGTCGAGTACGGGATGGTCAGCACGACTCCATCGGCCTGCTCGCACGCCTACCGCGAGAGACAGAAGGGTCGTTGTCCAACGTAATATCGACCTATGTCGCACTTGCTACGCCGTACACCTCGTCGATGGCGGTCACGGTCGCTTGAATATCGTACCCCATCATCATGTAGGTTAGGGAGGAGGAGCACGTTGGCAGCGCCTGTGGAACAGCAGGGAAGCGTGAGGAATGGACAGCGCCACTCTCCCCCCCGCAGCGCTGCACGACCTTCGCCGCACCAGCGCCAAACGTCACCCAGAAGGGGTTGTCAGCGTGCCCGTGAACGATGGCGTAAATCCTTGCTGTGATGTCGACGTCAGCACAACATCGGGTGGGATCTGGGTCTCGAGGCATGTGTGTCTCCTAATCGAACCCGGCGGCAACGGTAGGTAGTTTTAGCTTAACGGTCTACCATACCATACACACCACACTTTTAGCTTACTGGGAGAAAGGAGGGAGGGGGGGGGGGGGGGTTGCGTTCAGCGCGCATGCAGTAGCAAAATGCGGGGAGACAGACGGGCGGGCGGGTGCCCGGACCGATCGAGGTTCTCGAGGTTCTCGCCCAGTGTCGTGCGAGGGAGTTTTGTTGTAAATTTCTCGAGGTGGATATCCTTTGGCCGCGTTGGGTAGCGAGCGAGGATTGGTGTGACGCGATCCACGCAGGCGTGTTTTCTGTGACGGCCGACCGTCAGTGCACGGAGTTGCCCCTCCCTTCTCCGACTGCCCCGGCTAGTTCAAGGGTCTCGCGGGAGTGATCCCATGCGTCAAACCCGAGACCTGGCGCGGGTGGGTTGGAGCGGGCTCGCTGCATGCAAGTGCAACAAACAAGGAAGGGCTGTGTAAGTAAGAAGCCGATCCCCGTCAGTCCGCCCCACTCCTCCCCATCGGGCCGCACAGGGCGGCCGCGCCTCGCAGATGTGTGAGCTCTGTTTTGTTTTTTCCGCCAGCGGTGTGCCCTCACTCTCTCCGCCACCAAGCCCCGCTGCCCAAAGAGTGAAAAAAGTACAATGTTTGAGTCCGCCGACGCCGCCGCCGGCGAGGAGACGGAGAAGCGGGTCCGCGCTCTGACGGAGAAGGCGGCGCGATCCAAGCTCATCGCCCGCCAGCGGCTTGGCGACCTCACGCAAAAGCATCGGCATGTCTCTCTCGAGCTGCGCCACCTCGAACTGCGTGGGTACCGCGCGGGCGAAAAGCGCGGCCGCGGGGACGATGCGGCGCCGGCTCCGCTGGCGAGCGAGCCGGCCGACGCGACCGCGACCGACGGCGGCGACGGCGGAGGCAAAGCGGCCGACGCCACACCGATGGACACAAAGGAGGAGGGCGACGCCCCGCGGAAGCGAACGCGGCACGCGGGCGACTCGGAGCGATCCGAGGGGGGCGAGGCTGGCTCGAGGGGCCGAGCGGATGGCGAGGCGGGCTCGAGGGAGCACAAGGAGCGCAACCGTCCCTCGCCGAGGGTGCGCCGCCGCCACTGCCGCCGCCGCCACTGCCGCCGCCGCCACTGCCGCCGCCGCCGGACTAGCCCGCGCTTTCCGCCGCAGCCGCACAGCCGAAGGCGCGTGCCCGCCTCCTCGTCGCTCAGGTGCAGCTCGACGAGGGGTCTCGCCAGCGCAGCCGCAAGATGTTCGGCCTCCTGCGCACCACGCTGGCCAAGGCTAACCCTAACCCTAACCCTACCCCTAACCCTACCCCTAACCCTAACCCTAACTCTAACCCGAACCCTAACCTCCTACGCACCACGCTGGCCAAGGTTTTCCAGAAGTCGAGCGGCTCGAGCCTGCAGCG